ATCATAAATACATTTAAAATACAAAACCTGTAAAAGGTTTTAGAGATGATGGAGAAGTCAAAGTGGGTAAAATATGGCCTGCATCATTTTGTGAAAGAAAGTGTAGTCACTGCATTTAGGAATAATGTATGCAAATATTAAAAACAAAACAGCAAATCACCAGGCATTGTAAATGTTTGCAGAGAAAACTGGACATAATACATTTAATGACTGAGTTTGGTGATTTGTACAATGAATCAAACCAGACAAAAGCCTAATGCCGATACATGACTAATGAAAGCAAAATTAGTTCCAAAATCAGCATACATTGTTCCCCTGGTTGGACAGAACAGGGATGTTTAAACCTGTTCCAGGAGAGCCACTGTCCTACAGAGTTTAGCTTCTACCCTTATTACACACACTAATAACGAGGTCTTTGGACTCACTAGAAACTTTTCAAACTACTGTGCTGGAGCCAGCTGAAGCTAAAGTATTGCCCATCATACATATTAACACATTATACTGTGGGATCAGTCAACCATGCCCTCCCAAAATCTGCAGGCTGACTATTACTTTTAGCATCTGGTTTCATCTCTAAGAGACTAAAAATGGGCAAACATCTAGGCAAAAGTCATGTAATGCTTTTTTCAACCTTAACAGAAATTCTCAATGTTCAAAGCCAGTTTTTCTCTCCCCAGTGTATGACCCCTCCTCACAGCCCGAGCTTTGCGGAAACTTCAGGCACAGCGGTTCTCAGTACCTCAGTGGCCTGCTCAGGTCTAAAACCACATCCCAGACTATGTTCAGCCTTGACCAACAGAGCTGCATGTCATGTCAGCTTGCATCCCAGTACCACAGTCCTGCTCAACCCAGCTCCGCCGCAGACAGCAGAACAGCCTTCTCTGCGCAGAGCCACCAGCGTTATTCGGCACACCGCCGACAGATCCATGGACCACAACATTCCATCAACAACCACAGGGCAGGAGAAGCCATGCTCCTCAGAAATTCCTCCAGAGCACACGGAATCCAATACCAGCCTCAAAGGAGAAGTGCAAATCTGCAGTAGCCCATGTGACTCTGCAGAACCAGAGAGAACTGCCCCTTCCCCTGACTCTACAGGCATTGCTATCCCCACTTCTCAGTCCACCATTCCTCAGTCGCCTATGTCCAGCCCACCTGTGCTCTGTCAGGTGTTTCCTGTTAACGGGCAGACAGGAATCATCTCTGCGTTCGTTCAGACTCCAGTTCAGATGCAAACTTCAGGGTCAAAGCCCATTCTTCCACATTCTCAACCTCTTCTGGTGGGCTCACCTGTGGCTCAGGGCACTGTGATGTTTGTAGTCCCGCAGTCTCAGGTATCCCAATCCTCAACCTGTCAGCAGAGCGTCGTTACACTTGGGAACACAAAGCTTCTACCCTTGGCGCCTGCTCCAGTCTATGTGCCCTCAGGTCAGAGCAGTGGAGTGACACAGTCTGACTTTTCGCGCAGGCGGAACTACGTCTGCAACTTTCAAGGATGCAAGAAGACTTATTTCAAAAGTTCCCATTTAAAGGCTCATTTAAGAACACATACAGGTTGGTATCCATTTAGAGGCATTGTTTTTGTTCTGGTTTCAGCCATAATCATGATTGTTGATCGTCTTCCCTTTGTGTCTCAGGTGAGAAGCCTTTCAGTTGCCATTGGGAAGGGTGCGACAAAAAATTTGCTCGTTCAGATGAACTTTCCAGGCATCGTCGAACACACACAGGCGAAAAGAAGTTTGTCTGTCCTGTCTGTGAGCGCCGTTTCATGCGAAGCGACCACCTGACCAAGCATGCACGGCGTCATATGACAACCAAGAGGTCAACAGCGTGGCCTAATGAAGTTCGTGATGTAAACAAAATGGCCACTTCCCAAGCACCATCTTCCATACCCCTCAGTGTGCTTCTTCCTGCCTCAAACTAGGTTAAAACTCAGACCACTTCACCTCAGTCACCTCAGGACAATATCCCACTGACCATTTAACAGTGGAAATTCAAGAAAACCAAGGCTGCTACACATCCATGTACATAAAACAATTTGACATTGCACTGGATTTTTATTTTAATCATGGTTGTTTATAAGGAATTCTTGTTTACTTTTTATATAAGTTATGTCTCCCGATATGTATTTACTCCCTTTGCCAAAGTCTTTGCATCAGTTCATCTCGTACTTACTCCTTACTGTTGTAAATTTGTACATATATATCACTATCTATATGAATGTACTGTGTATTCAAATTTGCATTTATTGTTGATATATGAATAAATGTTATTGATGTTATTTCTGTTAAATGGACAGTATTCCTGTATGCGATACTACCTGCAATATTCCATATTATTTAATAAACATTTGTAGTAAGAATGTACAGTTTGTTTTGTTACCTTTCTATTGAACAAAAACATTGGCCAATAGATATCTAATTAAATTTAAGTATTTTATTTAAGACCTTTTTAAATGTCTTAAAAGCACAGAAAACACTGCATGTTGTTCACCATATAGGTCACAAAAAACAATAAAAAATTTATATAATGGCAACAAAACATGGCAAACCCATGCAGACAGTTGTAACACAACGTGTAAACCATGAATAAAGTAATAATGCAATCATTTTTAATTTGCAGTTTCAGCTCTTTTTTAATGAAAGGAGTATTAAGGATACAATAAACAAATATAACCCTTTTACATAATATTCACATAGGATAAAGGGGAAGATTGGTCAGGAACCAGGATACATGAAAGATCTCATATTTCTTTACAAAAGAAACTAATTTCTTATAAATTAATTTCTTATTAATGTATCAATTAATTAGTCAGTAAGAGTATATCTTGTTAAGAAACCTTTTTAAATAAATAAAATATTCCAGCAGAATTAAGAAAGTTCTAAAGATCTGTTTTGGTTTTAAAAATAACACTTTTAAAGGGAAAACTGACAAAACAAAACAGTCGTTACATAGCCTGCATGAACCGAAGTGACGACACAGTTACACAACACCAATTCTCAACGTTGTCACCCCACAGCACCCAGTAACAAACCTCGTCCAATCACATCGCTCCATTGTGGAGAGGTTAGGGGGCGCGACCAATCACAAAAGATGACGAGTTGTAAATATGGCAACAGCAGCTTGACTGACAAACTGGTCTCCGCCCTTTTGCCTTACTGACCGACATTTCCAAACGAAAATTGAAGCGAAAAATAAACCAAAAAACTTTTTTTGTGATGAAATTATTTGTAAACGACAAGATTTCTGTTTTCATAGTGATTAAATCAGTAAGAGTGAGAAGTAACGCAAGAACTTGGCGATGACTCAAGAGTATCTTTGTTCGTATGAACTCTATGAACTCAGTGAAAGCTTCATGAAAAAAAATGCATTTGGCGTGCTCAGTAGTACTTTTGATTTTATACATCTATTTAAAACTTAATATCAAATTAGACCAAATCTATTTATTATTTCAATATTAAATTAAATAATTATTATATTAAATCGAATAAAAATGCGTCCGCACATTAACCTTGTTGATGTCGACTGTTTTTTATTTTTATTTTATTTATTTATTTATTTTTTTTTATGGAGAATCATTTTCTTATATATTCACACCGTTTTTGGTCAAATGTGGTAATAAATGCATTTTAACAACGTTTAGCATAACCCTTTTGTAACTGTTTTACCAAGAAAAAAATGTTTGGATTGCATTTCTTAACTCCTAATGTCGCTAGTTAACACACTTAATGCGTTTTTTTCAACACATCCCATAATTTCTAAAATGTCAGCCTTATATATACATGCTTTCTTGCTTTTCATTTACAGTAAAACCAAAATCAAGTGTAGTAGTGCAGCAGGATTATGTTTCTATGAATTAAAAAAAAATTTGTTAAGCTAGAATGCTGTGTGTGTGACCCATTATTTTAAACAGTATTAGAGCAGGCAGGGTTAAATCGCGCTCGAATAGCATTTTACTACAGGTAAAGCGCGGCCTCTGCTGTTCACATAACGCATTACATGTAGTTTACTGTATGACATAATCCTTATTCGAGGCTTTGTTTTGTTTCCTCAACAGCGCATGTGGAATCTGCGCTTAAGATAAATAAATGTCCTATATTTTGTTATAAAAATAAATCAAAAGGTCAACAGGCTATGAAGATAATGTTTTTGGTATATATTTTGCAACAAAATCTAAACAATGATTTTATCCCTTCCTATTTTCAATATAAAGCAAAGCACAGAACAATGAAGTGCAATACAGGCAAGTAGGCTACCTAATTTGATATATTTCATTATAGTATTTATTTAAATATTTGTAATGACAGAACAGTGGTATACGGATCTCACATTATCATACACAATAATAAAGCCATCTATTATACAACCATTGGCTAGTAATTCAAGTCTTTTGTAAAGGGTAAAATTAACAAAATAAATAAATAAATAAAAAATAAAAATAGTGTTTTAATATACTTTCTCCAAAAACTACCATAAAGGATATTGGATATGCCAATAATCATTCAGTCAGTTTTTATTATAGTATTTTAAACAGGTCATATATTTAATTATCTTTCTCAATAAAGAAACAGCATTCAAACTTATTTTTGGAAGAATAGTACTAATGTATTATTATTTTGGTCTCTTTCTTTATATGTAAAAGGCTTTTTCAGGCCAATAATGATCCGGATAACAATAATATTAGGACAAAATAGCATAAATATAAGGATTGAAAATCTTTATTGTCATTATGCAGGCACAATGAAATTTAATTCAGCTCTTGACATAAGGCATTTAAGATTTTAATATGTTGTTTAATATATATATATATATATATGAACAGTATAAATTATTCATATATTAAACAAAGTATCTAATTAATGTATTTTAACAGTTAGATAAATTAATAATGTTGATCATTTTGATATTTTAGATTTGTGAAATGTTTTGTCTGTGGTGATAGTTGTCCTCCTGCCACTAGACTGCAGTATACTAAAACATGCAGCGATTCTCCCCCGCCCGACTGTGACCTCTTGGGCGTTTTTATTGGTGCTTATCCCGCGTCCTGGGAATGTTTTTGTTATGAAAAACAAAGGATCTATACTCGTTGACTAGTTGTAAAATACGTTTTCCGCTTAATTTGAGTTGTTTTTTTTATATGTCGAGTTTAAAAATAATCAACAAAGTCCGTTGGAGTTCGTGTTAACGGTTTAGTTGTGGTGAAGAACTGGCTAAACAGCTGAGAGATTATTGTGGTGTAAAGTTTGATCGGCAATAAAATACTGACACCTCTTTGATGACAGTAAATGTTATATTAATGATGTGGTATTAGTGATATTATTGATGTCCAATATACGTTAATCTTCGTGCTGAAGGACAGGAGAAACGACAACAAGACATTTACCTCTGTCATACGGAGGATTTGATGAAGGTATAATCACAAAAGATCACACGTGCAGTTTCATGTTCATTATTGAACGTGAATATTGAAGCTTTCTAAAGTATTTTAGGTTAGAGTATGACTTGATGTTGTGTATTTCGAAAACGTTTACTCAAATCTGGCGCGAAACCGCATCTTCCTGTCAGGCGGGTTTTGTTGTTGCAAATGGGTTTATGTCTGCCACGTTATAAAAGAGGTACGGAGAAATGTATTTCCCCAAACAACAGTCGATTGTTTTTATTATACAAGATATAATTATCTTAAAAACGTTTATTGTGCTTCGTTTATTGTGTCATTTGTATGTGATCGACAGCTGCAGTCTTTGTGACTTGAATAAATTCACTGATAGTTAACGTTAACTTACATGCTTTATTTACTTCTAATTCAGTCATTTTGCTTTGAAATAATAACAGATGCAAGCACATCAGTGTAAAGGACATCTACGGTATATAAACCGTTTACTTGAGTGTGGAGTTAAATTATACACATTTATTAAAGTATATCGAACATAAAAATAAAAACATTAAGATTTCACAAATGTATAGTTTTATTTCATATTCGCGCCCTTTTAAACCTGTTTGTATGGTTTTGTAATACTTTGCAACCCCCAACATGTTTGAATTTCCCGCGAGGTGCAGCTCTTACGTGACGCGGTGGAGAAATCTGATTGGTTCATCTGATGAACGAGTTAAAAGGACCAAACAAAGCCGGGGAGTTTGCTCTTTCCCCATTGGCTGAGAATAAGCGCCAAGAATCGAATATAAAAAGCGTATCCGGCATTCATACTTAGTGTTATCTTCGCTTCAGCTGGACCGTAGACCTGCTAGCTCTTAGTTTTGCTTTTATTTATTTCTAGTTAACTTTGTTTTAGAAGTTGTCTTTATTTTTAACCTTTAACTTATCCTCGTTTTGTTTTACCAAACACTCCAAGCTTTACAATGTCGTCCACTCGCTCTCCCCTGAAAACCAAGAATGAAAACACAATCTCTACTAAAATGAATAACATGTCCTTTGTGGACAAAGAAAACACGGTAAGTTTGTTTCTTTGACTTTACTTTTAACGAACCGCAATTATTGTAACTACTGCGTAGTCATGCGACCCGTAAGTTACATTTTTAGGCTCTCAAGAGTAGCTCTATACGCGCATATAACATAAAATACGAATATTACTTTAAATACAGCTACTAGGTAGTTGTGTTGTAAAATGTGATTTGTTTTGTCCTCAGCCACCCAGTTTGAGCTCCACCAGAATCCTGGCGTCCAAAACGGCGCGCAAAATCTTTGATGAATCAGAGGTCAGTCCACTTTTACTTCGTCTCTGCACGTGTCTTCAGAATGAGCTAATATTATGCATGTTTATCTGATGTGGTATTAAATGTTTATCGACTTCTGGAGCGATGTCTTTAAGTTGTAGATAAAATTTGGCGGATTCTGAGCGCGCTAAGTTGGGCAGGTCACATCAAACTATCCGGGTCTTTTTGGAAGAACAATGGCTCATTAAACTAGTCCAGCTGAACGGAATTAAAAACGATTACTTAAAACTAGTATGATTTTTGTGTTTTATGCTAGTTAATAAAACAATGCATGAGTTTGGCGGGCGATTAGCTTGAGCTGATGTAATGTTGCATAAACGACGCAGAGTGTATGCTAAACATGCACTTTAAAGTGCGAATACTCCCTTTCTGTACAATTCGATCAATATTTAGATGGTTTTCTTATATTTGCACAACTTGATCTGGTCAATCAGAAAAGCTCTTGTTTTGCCGAAAAAATATAGACCGGAAGTAGTATTACTGGGAATGATCAATGCACCAAAAGCAAACAAGATGGTCTTATTACTATTATTATTTATTTGTTTTCTGGTAAACGAAGGAAATCGTGCTAATATTCCAAGTTACAAGAAGTGGAAACCCAAATGGTGTATATAAAATGTTTGATATTTTAATACAGCTGAGTCTTCTCGTTCATACAAGCAACAACTTTCCATTATCTAAGACTTTTTTTTTTTTTTTTTTTTTTTTTGGGAAATGAGAACCAAAGCTAACCAGACTTTAACGAACATTGTCAAATGCTAGCTTAGTTAGTAGCTTAGTTTTTAGTATATTTTTTTATATACCATTGAATAACTTGCTATTATTATTTTTTACAAAATGGTCAAGAATTGCAAGTCTTGAAGAAAATGGTTAATAGCCCAAACAGAAATGAGCTTATTGCTAAAGATTGTTTTTATCCTAGTTACATGCACCATAAGCCCTAACTCATGTTAGTTTGTTACATCAAACATGTTTTAATTGCAGGGGCAGTCGAAAGCAAAGAAAGGAGCAGTGGAGGAGGAGCCTCTTCTGAAGGAGAACCCCCATCGCTTTGTCATTTTCCCAATTCAGTATCATGACATCTGGCAGATGTACAAGAAGGCAGAGGCCTCTTTCTGGACAGCTGAGGAGGTGAACTTTAAAACATAACACCTTAACACCTAGAAATGCCTCCATTTAATATGCTGTCCTTACTAGGTGCACTGGTCAATCTGGTTTTGTCAAAGATCCTGAAAATTAGCATAAATATGAATGAGAAATTTATTAGAATTGATTTAAATTAGAGTATCTAATTAATAAATTTAGCAAAGTTTTTAATAAACATGTACCAAATCAGCAATTTAATATTCCTGCAAAAGTGCAAGCCATTTATCAAAACATGACCAAAGAGAAGTTTACGAATTTAACATGCATTTATTAGTCAAATTTACAAGTTATTTTTTTTCACAACTAGTGCTCTTTAAATGTACTTGATATAATTAATCCTCCTTGTTCTCAAGCTATTAAGTAACTTGTCCTTTTCAGTGTGTTCTAATGGCCCTGAATATAACTTAAATGTCATTTAAAATTTGCATATTGCCCTTGGCTAGTAGTTTAATGTAACATTCAGCCTTCATTTGCTAGCATGCTTTTTATAGTTGCAATGTTTTGAACACTTGGGTTTTTATTTTTTCTAAGGTTGATCTGTCCAAAGATCTGCAACACTGGGATTCCCTGAAAGACGAGGAGAGATATTTCATCTCCCATGTTCTGGCTTTCTTTGCTGCAAGTGATGGCATTGTCAATGAGAACTTGGTAAGCTCATAGGCAAACATTTACAGCCTGGCTGTCAGTCAATTTCTGAAGGGCCACAGTTTTTCTTTAGCCCTCATCAAACACAGCTGATCTAAATAATCTGTTCAAAAGAATCTTGAACCCTTAATTGGCTGCATCAGATGTTTGGTTAGGGTTGAAACAACTGCAGCGCTGTGGCCCCCTCCAGAAATTGACTTATACCTATGATTTTACAGGATTTAATTTTTTCCCTCCCCCCCCCTTTTTTTTAAATTTATTTATTTTGTTAATTGGTCCTTACCACTTATCTTCTGACTCTAGGTGGAGCGTTTCACTCAGGAGGTCCAGGTGACTGAAGCCCGCTGCTTCTATGGCTTCCAGATAGCAATGGAAAACATCCACTCAGAAATGTACAGCCTGTTGATTGACACCTACATTAAAGATTCTAAAGAGAGGTAAGTGTTTGGACCCGTTTTGAGGTTATTGGGAGCAATGATGAGTGGCGCAGGGGTACGTACCTCAGCTGATAATGGGAGCTGAGTGTTGACTGCTCAAAATCAGTGGACATGTGGTCAGCTGGTTGTAGGGTGTCAGCACGAAATTATCGCCTTGACTGAGCTCCCTAAAAATGCTCTTGTAAATGGTACCTAGTCATTTATCTGACTAATGAAATTGTTTTCTGTAGGGAATTTCTGTTCAATGCCATTGAGACAATGCCATGTGTAAAGAAGAAGGCTGACTGGGCACTCAACTGGATTGGTGATAAAAATGCACGATATGGTATGTTATAAACATACTTTATTAAAAAGGGGGAAAAAAAGAAAAAATTATAATAAAGTATTAAAGGAAGTTTATTAAGTGACCGCTAATTTAAGTCTTGCACTGGTTACAGGTGAGAGAGTGGTGGCCTTTGCTGCAGTGGAGGGAATCTTCTTCTCTGGGTCTTTTGCTTCTATTTTCTGGCTAAAGAAGAGGGGACTCATGCCTGGACTCACCTTCTCCAATGAGCTGATCAGCAGAGATGAGGTAACCCTTTTGTCTACCTTAACCCTAGTATGCACCTATTGTAGAATGTGGTACTAATGTTTCTTATTCTTGCAGGGTCTTCATTGCGACTTCGCCTGCCTCATGTTTAAACACTTGATCAACAAACCATCAGAAGAAACCGTGAAGAAAATCATCATGAATGCAGTTGAAATTGAGCAGGTTTGTGAGCCTTCATAACAAGTGCTTTCAGTCAGGCCAGTGTTCATTTTCAGGTTTACACAAAGGGCAATGTTCATTAAAGTTCTTGCTGAATAAAGCTAGATAGGTTTCATCAGCATGACTACAGGGCAGTTGTTTTTACAGAATAAACTGCCCTGATGTATGTAATCTGGCTGCTTGTCACAGAACTGAACTATTAGATGTAGTAATTTAACTTTATTGAATGTAACAAACAAACATGACTGAACACAACCTGCAGTTCCAGATTTGAATTTTCTTTAGTTGAAGAGCTGCATGTTAACAATGGATTAATAAACTTACTTTTTTTTTTTTTTCTTCTCTTGCATTTGAGTGCTAGAGTAAAGTAAAGCCAGATTTCGCTTGAATGATAAAGCTTGTGGTTTAGAAGACAGAACTTTTATTCCGCTAAACACCTGCCATAATGTACTTTCTTGCTTGACAACTTAACTACAATTGCAGCCTACAGTAACTTACTCAGCCACAAGATGGTGGCAAACAGTCTAAAAAAGGGGCAAGAAAGAACTGAAAATTGACTAATGGTCAAGATCACTGGTGCTCAACGCTGTACCTGGAGGTCTAGCTTCCTACAAAGTTCAGCTCCAACTCTGACCGAACACGCATGAACCTATTAATTAGAACTAACATGCGTTGCAATGTCTTTGGCTTTTCAGAATCAACTATTCCAGAGTGCTGTATAGTATTGAGATGTAGTGTGGTCGATCATATGATAGATATTCCCACTTTATACAGTTTTATGTGTGCTTTGACCACTTATTTATTGGAAAGGAGGGCCTATGTATCAGTCTTTTTTTTTTTTTTTTTTTTTTTTTTTTTTTTTTTTTTTTGACCCCTTATAAATAAGGGACTAAACCAAATAAAAATGAATAAATTCTTTTTTTTTTTTTAATAATCAAGTCAAAGTATTTTCAATTGAATGGGTAGACAAGACCTGACAGGGTATGTACTTGCATTTTAGTGTCTTCTACTTGTAATTGCATCCTAAAGTAAAAACAATACAGGGCATATAGTTTTAATAATTTTTGTAAACCACAAATCTGACTTGTTTATCTTCCTAGGAGTTCCTGACTGATGCTCTTCCCGTGAAGCTCATTGGCATGAACTGTGACCTGATGAAGCAATACATTGAGTTTGTGGCTGACCGACTGTTATTGGAGCTGGGATTTGACAAGGTAGGTTTATTTTATTAGTCTTGAGTTTGCTCATGGTGGCAGTGTAGTCCTTGTAATGTCTAATGATCTGAGGTCTGTCACATGTCAAACCCGTTTTGTACTTTCAGTTCAACAGGTGGCACTAAGCGTCACTAACCTTCCAAATTGCCTTTCTAGGTCTATAGAGTGGAGAATCCTTTTGACTTCATGGAGAACATTTCGTTGGAGGGCAAGACCAACTTCTTCGAGAAGCGAGTGGGCGAGTACCAGCGCATGGGAGTCATGTCGGGAACTACAGATAACACTTTTACTCTGGATGCTGATTTTTAAAGACTCAATCTGAGTGCTTCAACGGACACTTAACACAAAACTATGGACTTCTGGGACTTTTGCTGTATAGTTTACATGTTTTTGTTTAACTTTGTTTTAGCGAGATTAGTATTAAATAAGCTTTTTTATTTTTGTTTTACATAATAAAAAAAAAATTTGAATTTCAACTTTTTGGATGAGGTATTGCTCGAAGTATCAAGTTAGGTTTTTCAAGATATGGTAGCTCAATTTAGCCCAGACTCTATTTCGTGTAAATGAGGTAAAATGAGTTATGGAGATTTATACTGCATTTAGTAGCTAGCTTGCCCCAGAGCAGACTAATAAGGCTAAGACTAATCCTAGTGATTTATCTGTTAGTAATTCATTTAAGTTACTCTGGCCATTTACTTATATTGGCAGTATAGATAATATTTCTCACTTCCATATAAAGTATGGGATCGACTCATAAATTAAGGTACAAATATAGAAACATGAATGGATAAAATAGATGCTCCAATATTGGGTAAGAGTATGCAGTTAGTTATTTAATAAACTTTCCTGTGTAACATGGTTGACTTTTGGTCACATTTAACACAAAGTAAACCACTGCTAATTTGATGGTTATACTTTGGTGTAGGTAACTTTACAGCATCTTCCCAAACCAGAACAGGGTTCGAGACATTGCCACACTGTCCATCAAATTTTTTTTTATTTTTTTTAAAAAAATCAATAAAGAGAAAAATCGTTACCCTGGCTTTCAGAATTTTACATTTCATAACTAGCTTTGCTATAAGAAGCCAATAAATAGTGATGTGTATATTAGGAACTGCCATTAAATGATTCAAGCTTAGAAAAAGAACTGTTCACCAGAAAATGAACCTTTACTTAAGGTTTACACCTGTGATCAAGTGGTTCCAAACTTAAGAATTGCTTTCTTGTTGAACACAAAAATATACTGTGGTGAATGGTGAAAAAGCCTGCTATAGACAACCATAGGAACAAAAAACTAAGTCAATGGTTTTTAAATTATTATCTTTTTCCCCCCACCAACATTCAGTTCAACGATTGCTTCCTTTTGAACACAAGTTTGATCAAAAGGAGAATTGTCATTTTACTGTGAGCTGTCACTTTAATTGAAGCCTAACAGTTAAATGCACTATGATGGTTTTCTTTATGCTCATCTGTAATGAACATCAATGCTCACATGGAAACTTCTAAAGCACTCAATATATTTATAGTAGCCATTATCTAGGGCACTCCTGGCATGAGCTGTTGAGCAGTCGCTCTCTTGTAAGTGCTCTCGGGACGTTTTGATACTATTTGTTCATGGGACAACATGCACATCAACTTAAGAAAGAAGTCTTTTGACCTTTTAATACGGCTCTACAATCCACAAACTTCTGCTTATTGCATGTACTCGAACACATGTTACATCTTTCATTGCTGTACGTTTCTATTTTAGAGTTTGGGCACAACTGCCATTGAGTTGTCAATTGATTTGAGCTGCTGTGAAAACAGTGATGGATGGTCATGAAGGTCTGAATCTTACTGTTAAAGCGAGAGTATATCAGAATAAGAGCAGCGATTGACTCTTGGACATGTAGATTACTGCAAGGATCATTTCTCCAGGTTTTTCTCATTAGCGTGCCTGTCAGCGGTCCATTCTGACAACAGCTGCTTTAGTTGACACATCCACACACAGTAGATCTTGTTAGCAGCCATTATATAACTAAACAGCACAGTGCTACAACAACAGGTATTATAAGCCTTATGTCCATTGTTTAATGGAATAGAGAACGATATATGCTAAAAATATAATATTTAAACTATAATTTAGTTTTTTTTTGTACTGTATGGGAATTTGGGAGACTGATCTCTACAACTCTTTTTTTAACTGACATCTTTAGCAGTCAGTGTATGTTTTTAGTCTTCCACACACATACAGTGTATATATATATATATATATATATATATATATATAATATCATGGCCACTTTATTAGGTACACCTGTCCAACTGCTCATGAACGTAAATTTCTAATAAGCCAATCACATGGCAGCAACTCAATGCATTTAGGCATGTAGACATGGTCAAGACAATCTGCTGCAATTTAAACCGAGCATCAGAATGGGGAAGAATAAATAGAAAGGTGATTTAAGTGACTTTAAACATGGCATGGCTATTTGTGCCAGACAGGCTGGTCTGAGCATTTCAGAAACTGCTGATCTACGGGGATTTTCCAGCACATACAATTCTAGGATTTACAGAAAATGGTCAGAAAAAAAAAAATCCAGTGAGCGGCAGTTACAGTATGTGGGCACAGATGCCTTGCTGATGCCAGAGGTCAGAGAATGGCCAGACTGGTTTGAGCTGATAGAAAGGCAACAGTAACTCAAATAACCACTCGTTACAACAGAAATATGCAAAAGAGCATCTCTGAACACACAACACAGTGAACCTTGAGGCAGATGGGCTACAGCAGCAGAAGACCACACCAGGTGCCACTCCTGTCAGCTAAGAACAGGAAACTGAGGCTACAATTTACATAGGCTCACCACAATTGGACGATAGAAGATTAGAAAACATTGCCTGGTCTGATGAGTCCCGATTTTTGCTGAAACATTCGGATGGTAGGGTCAAAATTTGTTGTCAACATGAAAGCATGGATCCATCCTGCCTTGTATCAACTGTTCAGGCTGCTGGTGGTGGTGTAATGTGTGTGGGATATTTTCTTGGCACACTTTGGGCCCATTAGTACCAATAGAGCATCGCGTCAGTACCACAGCATACCTGAGTATTGCTGCTGATCATGTCCATTCCTATATGACCACAGTTTACCCCATCTTCTGATGGCTACTTCCAGCAGAATAACGCACCATGTCATAAAGCGCGAATCATGTCAGACTGGTTACTCGAACATGACAATGAGTTCCCTGCACTCAAATGGCCTCCACAGTCATCAGATCCTCAATCCAATAGAGCACTTTTGAGATAGTGGAACGGGAGATTCACATCATGGATGTGCAGCAGACAAATCTACAGCAACTGCATGATGCTATCAAGTCAATATGGACCAAAATTTCTGAGGAATATTTCCAGAACTTTGTTGAATCTGTGCCACGAAGGATTAAGGCAAAAGGGGGTCCAACCTGGTACTAGTAAGGTGTACCTAATAAAGTGGCTGGTGAGTATATATGTAATATATATCTCCCAAATGATGTTTAACTGAGCAAGGAAATTTTCTCAGTATGTCTGATAATATTTTTTCTTCTAGAGAAAGCCTGATACTCAAATCAATACAACCTTACATTGTATGTTTCATATGATGAATCTGCTTGATGAAATGCCATGCAAACTCTGCAGCCGCCATCAGCTCAGAATATGATCCCCATCAGTCTCTGGAATAAGGCCCTGCAGGCTCGTGTCACAAACAGGTTGATCAACAAACTATTGTTCCCAAAGTAATGAATGTTTAAAAAGCATTTGGGCCCAACAGTTGCCACGCTCCAAGAGGGGGTCTGCTGGTGGGCGCAGCTGTCTGAAACAGGCAAATCCTGTGTCCCCTTCATGTCCATTTAAGGAGATGGGACCCTGTCAAAATGCTTGTGTTGGTCGCCTGCTTTGTTTGAGCACCGGGCCTCCCACACCGCAGCACGTCCCTAATAGATCATAGCACAGTAAATATTGCCATGCTAGAATTACAGCTGTTACTGTACTTTAATAGCCCAGTAGGAACACCCAAATTCATTCTCTTATGTTTCCTGCGTGTTTTTCTCCAGACCTCGATGTGGATCGTTTTTCTAATAATTAAGCAGCCCAGAGTAATTTGGCTGGCACTATGGTTATACCACCTTAAGGCATTGTTCAAATGTTTATGTAAGATATTTGTTAAGTTTGTTCTTAAAACAGTATTGACTAATTAAAAGAGATAAATCACCTCATCATTTACTCATACTCAATTGATTTTAATATTTTATTAATTACTTTCGTACTTACGTAAACAGCAGCCACTAACATCCATAATAGTAACAAAAAATATTAAATAAATGGCTTTTTTCCACAACATACTTCAGTATATTTTTCTTTATATCCAACAGAAAAATCTCGAACAAGTGGAGGACGGGTAAAGATGGCAGAATTTTCATTTTTAGCTGAGGTGTCCAAACTCGGTCCTGGAGGGCCAGTGTCCAGGAGAGTTTAGCTCCAACCTTAATCAGACACACCTGAACCAGCTAATCAAGCTCTTACTAGATATGCTAGAAACTTCCTGGTAAGTGTGTTGAAGCAAGTTGGAGGTGAACTCTCCAGGACACTGGCCCTCCAGGGCAGAGTTTGGACACCCCTTCTTTAAGGCAATAGTTTTCAATTGCAGATATTAAACATGATTTTATTCTAGTAGTCTATTAACCTTCTATTTTTGGACTGTTGATTACAATTCACTGATACTATAGTTAAACTGCACTGTAAAAATTTATCGGTAAATAAACAGTTTTCATATTTTGGGATTCACAAGTGTTTTCTGTTTATTTACGGTTGTGAATCATATTATGGGACCTTGATCTCTGCTCTGTCAACTTTTGATGTTGAAAATGCAACTCTACAGTTTAACAAAGTGGCTTTTGTTGACATTTTAGTAGCTTGAAATAATATAATGTATAAACACAATATTTGGAAACAAGTTTTTTTTTACCAGGCAGTTTTTTACAAGGTTGTTGTACTGTAATGTACAACACTGACAAACCCAGACAATGTCACATATTATATTTAACAAGGCAGCAATACAAAAGCTCCAAAAATACCCATTTATACAATTATAAAGGCTAACACAAAGTGTTTAACGTTTCGAGCACACCGGCTCTTCATCCGACTATTTAAACTATTAAAAATGTTAATAAAAGTCACTTTTTCGAACTTTTCAAGGTTAAAAGTTGATGGAAGAAAGATCAAGATCCCATAATGCAATTCTTAAGCCTAAATAAATGGGGGGGGGGGGGGGGGGGGGGGGGGGGAGGAAGGGATGCAAATTTATGAATATTTTTTATAGAGTATGGTTAGCTAAATCAAAGCTAATTTTGGTTAACAAGCAACTGAAAGCTCTAAAATGGCTCCTTTCAGAAGCAGCATTTCAAGGTAGGAAGGCACCAACGAACGTCCAAATCCAAATTCTGGATCACTTCCTTTATTAGTATGTACCTTTTTCTGATCTAGTTTTAAAGACAGCATAGATGCATCCTTCGCTGCCGTTGATATCCCACAATCCTGAGCATTCCATTTCTGACAGCTGAGCTAAAAATATAAACCTTTATTGGTATCAACTTGCATGTATGTTTTTTACTGAAATTTTCTACTTTTGATAGCAGAAGTTACTACTTTAGTAAACAAATATTCTCTTAGTAGTCATGAAAGTTCTATCTAATTTAATGTACATGAATAGATCATTATGCTGGCTCAGAAATCTTTTTTTTTTTTTTTTGAGCGAAACGGTTAATTTTTGTAAGAGTTACAATCACCTTCAAAACTACTGTCAGTGATCTAAGTGAGTTATCTCTTTAAATATGAAAACATTCAATTATCCACAGGGGTTCAGCCAATTTAAGAATACACTTCATAAATGAAATCACCAATAAAATCTGCCACCAATGAAAATTTGTTTCTTGCTTAAATAGGAGGTTGAGATCTTATTTTTCAGGCTAGACAAGTGAATGTAAAATTGCACGCCATTTGGAACACCCTCCATTGCCAAAAACA